TCGCACGTCGTTGATAACACTGTTCTCAAACATCTTGATTGATGCTTCTCTGATTTGTCGTCCGTTGTATACCCGTTCACCACTCGTTCACCCGTCAGTCTGTCAGGCCTTGGCAGATGTCATCGTGAAGTCGTCGACGAAGAGGCGGCTACTCAACTAAATCACAAGTCGACTAAATTCGCCGTCGTCGTTGGAAACCACCGGACGGCTTTCCTCATCAACTGTGCTCACATCCTCTGCTGACCGTAACCAGCAAACTTCGTCGCTAGCCCGTGAGTGATTCATTCCTCATTCAGCCGGCCTCCGCCTGCGTTCCTCCCTCCTCGCCTCCTTCTTGTGTCACCTCGCTTATCCGGCGCTCGATCTCCGCAGGAACTTACGCGCGCGCGGCTGCGGCTGAACAGAGGAAGGCTCAGAGCACAAGACTCGAACTGAAGACTCGAACATTAATCATACGGAAGTTTTGGCGGCATCGCACGCCAGAGACTCTGCGAAAACTGTACCCCTCACTACCGCCGTGTCCGCCTGCGTCTCGGCTTTCCGATGACGAAGACGAAGAGACCGAAGGCCGTTCTGATGAACTGAGGTGCGCCACATCCGCCGCGACCTCATGGATTCTTCATCTCGGTCGCTGCTCCTCGTCCGACACGGCAGGAAGCATGAGGATCACCAGTGGCAACAGTCATACCAATCCGCTGACAGGTACTCGACGACCTTCTGTCGCTTCTCCTGCTATTTCTTCCACTGGTTCTCCTCGCCAGACGCCTGTTCTTCATTCGCCTGTGCTTCCTCACCGTCATCACTCCTCCGTTCTCACCTCGTTCAAAGGAGTCTTTTTCCTGACGCTGTTCGCCTCATCGTTCTGCCTGCAAAAAGCGTACGGAATCGGATGGCTGTAAGTAGCTTCTGACTTGTTTCTTCAAACATAACATTCGCTCAAACACATTCACCAATGACGTTACTCCGAACCTCATTCATCACTCTCTGCGCCCGGCAGACAGTTCAAGTCGTGTATGCACTAATAACCTTTCAAGGAAGACCTCGCGGATCACCGTCTCTTTTACAGCTCAGTCAAAAAAAGAACCATTCCACTGATCCAGCAGGGAAAGAGCTGCTCAGCCATATGTTATAATTCGGTAACAGTCGGTCGCGCCCCTGCATGATCTGGATATGTATATGTCACTGTATATATCCTTATCCTAGCCTCTGCACTGTCTCCTGCAGATTTATAATGTGGTTCAGGATCTGAGTGATATTTGATTACTCGGAGTTGCACCTTGGGTTGATTACTATGCTTGAAAATCAACTCTCAGGTGGGTCAAGACAAATTGAAAATATTGAGGTACTTGCCTTGAACAGTATGAACGCACACCTCTACTATTTTCATATAAATGCACCAGAATACCATGCCGTCCACTGTTGTTCACAGGCTATCGATTTGCAACCCGTTCTAAGGCTAGTAACACCTTGGGAGGAGTTCCTGTTCAGCGGAAATTCACGCTTAAGTCAAAGATCATCCCTTCTTCGGGAACAAACCTTGAACCTTCCCGAATTCGAAGCTAACCTCTTTGCTCCTTATTTGCTAATGCGGTAAAAGCAAGTTGACTGTTTTAACTGAACAACGAATGAGTTACAATCTGTAATGATATGCCTGTTGGCACAGTGTCTAAGAGATCTGCTTCGAACTTCGGAGGTTCCGGGTTCGATGTCTCTAGTGGGCAGTCATTTTCTTAATCACGAATTCCCTTGAGAAAGCAATTCATCAGATGCAATTTCAAGACCGGAGTTGCTCCGTTCGTAGAGCTTCGAACTCAGAACCTATTAAACCTGAGTTCAATCCTCTGTCTGGGTTGTATCCCGTTTCTTATCTTGAGGTTGATAAATGAGTACCATTCTGTTGAAAGGAAAAAGGAGAACCCAAAAGCTATGCTTGTCACAAGGCTGTAAACTCTGTCTTTAAGCAAAGAGACACTTATGGCTGATGACATGGAAACGGAAGTCACAACCGCGCCATCAATTTCATGCAAGGAAGGGCGCCAAAAGAGCCCAATCATGAGAGGGGAGAGGGTCCGACATTCTACCGGCAAAAAAACATTTTCTTCCTTTTTAATAGATGTGCACTAATAAATACCTGTATGAAAGGATTATCAATCTAAACGGTAACGTATATTTACATCAACTAACCTTGGTCTGCCTAAATTTCCCACCCATAGGCAAATAGGAGCAAGGGGGAGGTGCTTTTCGCTGTAAACTCTAATCGTAGGCATGTTACATTCTCTGTGTAACTTATACACTCAGACGTACAAACATATTATAATGTTTATGCGGTAGCATATGAGGAGCGTCAGCTCCCGAATGATCGCCCGTAATGAGTGTGAGATGACTCCGTTGAACAAAGTCATGAGAAATACGTCTGGCAACGCAGGTGCTCTGGTAGCCATTGCGTGCTTAAATTGCCCCTTAGGCAATTAGGACCCAGGAGTGCTGCGATACGCCGTGAAATCTGACATCATATTATTTATTGGTTATTTGACATACTCGGGCATACGAATAACTTACGGTTCCTATGTTGTTGCAGCATACGAAGAGTACCAACTTCTGAAACATCGTTGGTGAGGAGGCTAGGTGGTTCTAGAGCTCAGACTGATGCGAAATGTATCTGGCACTGCAGAAGTTCAAATACTATTGAGCAGTAGCCTGCCCAAATAGCGCCTTAGGCAATTAGGAGAAAAGGGCGCAGTAAGCAGTGAAATTTGGCCTTTGATGAGTTATGCATTACGTTTAACATCAATCTAGTTAGGATTTGGCCAGTCCATCACTCTGCAGGTGCCGTCGTTCGACCTTAATATCAAACCGCGTCTGTCAGACCCGCTTATTCAGATAGTTTTATAAGGGTTCAGGATCTTCAGTGCCTCGCTACAAACTCATCACCATGTTCTTTCTCCAATACATAAACTGTTCGATATACAGCAATTAAAAAATACCTGACCACGTCATCAAAACTAAATTCTTTATCCCAATAAATGAAACCACAACTACACCGGATTTCACCCTACTCGCTGGTCGCTTGCTAAGTTAGGGTGCTAGATCTCTGCGGATCTCACTCCAGATGCAACATAGGTTCGAAACTCACTGAATTATTTAAATGGAAAAGTTTGTCTAAGTAAACTACTTGTAAACTTTAACCCAAAAC